GAATACTTCAAGATATAAATGCAGGGCCACAAGGAAAGATGATAACAAATTTTTTTCAGACCCCACCTTGCCTCAGAAACTTATGGGCTTATTGCTTTAGAGACAGTATCCCTTAAAAGTTCAGTTGCTATTGAATAAAATTGGCCTTATCTGTGCAGAGTACTAGAGATCCAAGAACATAAGTTTCTTGGCTGTATGGAGCTTGTAACTTGATAAGTGATACAGGTAATATTTAATGAAATGTACCTATAAATTATTAAACAAAGTCACTTAAGAAAGATGGATAGATGATAAGCAATAGATGATAGATAAATAATTAGATAAAATATCATAAATATTAGCCAAATAGATGATAGGTAAAGACACATATAGATGATATTATCTTCATCTTTTGGTATTTATTCTTTTACTTAGAAACATCATTAGCGAGTACAGTTGGCTCTGCTAGGGGTACTCTCTATTAGGAACTACAGCCTCAATAGGGCGTCCCCAGTTCATTTCTGCTAAATATTTTGTGTACTTAATTTGATGGTATTTTGATATATGCATGTGTGTGGGTGGGTATCTAAGTACACTCTGTCTGTCTGTCCATATGCTATTTATTTTTTTATGCTACCATTTAACCTTACTATATACTTAATAAGCCCATTCATTCTAACTGAAAGTATGGCTACAGTAGCTAATTCTCTGGACAGTACAGAACAACTAGCTGAGAAATTGAGAATGAACATGAATTTCTCAAACTCTTGTTCCTACCTCAGCGAGGTGGGACTACAGGCATGATCTATCATGTTAGGTTAAGGTGGTACTGGGACTCAAACTCATTTCTAGGCAAACAGTCTACCAACTGAGGTATATCCAAAAGTAATAAAGTTCTAGCAATTTTTATCAATACACTATGGCAGAATTTGAGATTTACAGGACCACAGAAACAAAAGTAATTCCCTTAAAATACTGAAATGATTCAATTAACAAAAAAAATAATTCTATAAGAATCAGCCTGGCTAAGCTGAGGCAAGGAGATTGGCACAAAACGTGTGTCTACCCACTCAGCAAATAAGCAGTTTTATGAGCAGACATGTAAGAGTGATGGAAATGAAGATCATGCTCTATGTTATGATGTTTACCTGTGAATGCAAGGCACCAGACAGAAAGACAGGTGTCAACTCAGCATCAACAAGTAGTTACAAGTAAGGTTTGTGGTATCATATTCTAAATTAAATCATACCTAGAAATCACTCGTTAATAGCAGGTGTGCAGAAAGTAAGGCAGATGATTTCAAGGGTCATTCAGAGTAGGAACCTTTGAAAATGTTACAGGTGAACTGAGATGCAAAACAACAACAACAACAGCAACAACAAAACATCAGTAGCTCTCATATATACAAAAGACAAAGTGGCTGAGAGAGAAATTGGTGAAACAATACCTTCTACAATTGCCAAAAATAACATAAAGTACCTTGGTATAATGCTAAACAAGCAAGTGGAAGACTTGTATGAAAAAACTTCAAGTCTCTGAAGAAAGAAATTGAAGAAGATATCAGAAGATGTAAAGATCTCCCATGCTCATTTCTTGGTAGAATTAATATATTAAAACAGCCCTCCTATGAAAAGCAATTTTCAGATTCAATGAAATTCCTATCAAAATACCAATAACATTTTTTTTGCAGGCCTTGAAAAACAATTCTCAACCTCATATGGAAAAACACAAAACCCAGAATAGCTAAAACCATCTTGGATAATAAAATAACTACTGGAGTTATCCCAATTCTTGATCTCAATCTGCCCTATAGAGAATCAGTAATAAAACCAACATGGTACTGGCATATAAACAGACTAGTGGATCAATGAAATCACATCGAAGACCCAAAAATAAACCTACACACCTACTGACAACCGATTTTTGAACAAGGAAGCCAAAAATACAATGGAAAAAAAGATAGCATCTTCAACAAATGGTGCTGATATAATTGAATGGACTCCATGAAATCTGCCTGTGGACATTTTCATGTGGCAATTTCTTAATGGCGAATTCATGAAAGAGAGCTCCTCACACTAGGGACAGAATGTGAATCCTGAGAATGCATGTGGTGAAATGAGAGAACAGACCCCTCAAATGTTGTCCTCTGATCCACATGCACAACATGCTATGTCTGTACACGACATACACATACACACAAACACACATACATGCTCACATGTGTTAGCAAGCACACACAAATTTAATTGAAATTATTAGATGCATCAATAATTTTAAATAACATAAGTAAGGCCTATCAGTACTTTTTCATCATGAATATTTCTTAACAAATAAGTGAGAAAATATAGACAACAAGAGATACAGAAGCTTCCCAAGACTGACAAAAGGTCCTCACTAAGGGATCAGGTACTGAGGGAATTAAATTCCTCAGACTTGCAGGTGGCAAAGCCCTTTCTTGAATAGGCTGTCAATGCTTCCCTTGAAATGATACTCCTTCTAAAAGTGTTTGTTCAAGATAAATACAGTCATTTTATCAGCAAATCTCCTCCCTTCAGGACTTCATTTGTCTGACAAATATACCTTAGTTGGTAGTTTATGTGAGGAATCATTAATGTTTGATACTTCATTTGTCTGACAAATACACCTTAGTCAATAGTTTATGCGAGGAATCATTAACGTTTGATACTTCTGTGTTTTCGTTCCCAGGTTTATTTCAGAGCATATGACATTAGGGAAACAAGTACATTTATATGGAGCACTTCAAATTCTTCTGAGGCAAATGCTATTTTAACCTAGATTTGATGAACAACACTAGTGAGATTCACATGAGGCCCTTCTATGAGGCAAAACAGTAACTCACTGAACTGTTGTGATCATTTTAATTGCCAACCTGAACACAAGGAATCACACTCACAGAGTGTCTCAGTAATCAATTGTCTAGAATAGGTTGGCCTATGGGGATGTCTGTGCGAGGACATGCCCACTATGCATGGCACCACTGCCTGAGCAGGGTGAAATGGATTGAAGGGAGTGATGACACAAGTTGAGCACTATCATGTGTACATGCATTCATCACTCTCTGCTCTTAACTATGATTGTGATGTGACTAGCCCCTTCAACTTCCTGCCACGTTGACTGCCTGGCAATAAGGGATTGTAGCTTGAGATTGTGAGCTGATACAATTAACATCTTTCTCACTTAAAAGTCTTTTAAATGCTTTGACAGTCTGCACGGTAGTGGCTTTCAGAGGCCCTCTGTGGCAGGTTCCGAGGTTGTTTCCTGTTTTCTTCTGGCTTTCAGAGGCCCTCTGTAGCAGCTTCCTAGGTTGTTTCCTGTTTTCAGATGCTGAGCCTGATGGCCAACTGACAAGCAGAGTGAATGGAATTTTATGTAAGAAATGGGAAATAGTAAGAGCTAGAGAGGACAGGAACTCCACAAGGAGAGCAACAGAACAAGATAATTTGAACACAGGGAACTTCCCAGAGACTCATACTCCAACCAAGGACTATCCATGGAGATAACCTAGAACCCTGACAATGCAGCCACTTCTAATGAGAACTGATAGACTAAGATCAGAAAGAAGGAGAGGAGGACCTCCCCTATCAATGGACTTGGGGAGGGGCATGCATGTAGAAAGGGGGGAGGGTGGGACCGGGAGGGGAAGAGGGAGGGGCTTCTGGGGGAATACAAAATGAATAAAGTGTAATTAATAAAAGTTTAAAAAAGTTTTTTAAATGTATTTTATCTGAGCAACAGGAAGCAGAGCTAAGATATCTATGCTTTATGCCAAGTGTGCTGATTGAGTGTATTCACTACTTAGGTGTCATTGGATATTAGAAAATCATCAAGTGAATATCACCACTTAAAAGAAGAAAACTAATTCATAATGACACAATTTTTAGGCTCAGCATCATGCCTACAGGAAAGAGTTAGAGTAGCAGCCATTTTACATGACCCCTTCCTCCAGAATAGTGGTTCTCAACCTGTGGGTCATGACCCTTTTGTGAGGGTTCACGGATCCTTTCAAAGAGAGCTCATATTAGATATCATGCATATCAGATGTTTACATCATAATTCATAGTAGTAGCAAAATTACAGTTATGCAGTAGCAACAAAAATAATTTTATGGTTGGAAATCATCACAACATGAGGAACTGTATTAAAGAACTGCAGCATTAGGAAGGTTGAACACCATTGTTCTAGAACTCTCTTCAGTTCTACCCATGTATACACCTTCCTTTTCTTCAACATGGATCCCTACTCTCAACAACTCTCATGGATACCATGACTTCAGAAAGAGAGAATTCTATGAGCTACCTTGCGTAGAAACCTCCTGTTCTTGCAGAATATGTAGAAGGAGAACATATTTTTTTCATGGTTCTTGAGTAGAGGAATAGTATCACAATGTCTCACAACTTCCAGGAAAAGCTGATTGTAGTTATTTCATATTGCAAGTGGAAAATGATTATCTAAGACCCAAGAGCTCCTAGCTTTGAACATTTGTTGAGGTTGTATGACATTATTGCTTCATCCCTATAGAGAAGTTCTTATATAGATTATAAGAACATTTTTACTTCTCAGCTGAGGTACATATATTCACACACACACACACACACACACACACACATATTTATCTGTATAGTCACTAATAAAATGAGATAACTACAGGCTGGGAAATGGCTATGCTTCTAATGTGCTTGCTTTGCAAGCGGGAAGACGTGAATTCCATCCCCTGAGCCCAAATCAAGTTGGATAGTCCCTGCAGTGGGGAAAAGAAGCTGAAAAGACCTTTGTGGGTCACTGTCAACTAGCATAGGCTCAGCTGGAAGGTCCAGGCCAAGGGAAAATTCCTGGGTCAAATGATAGTCTGTGTTCCTAGGTGACATGGGAGGGTTTGGGCTGGCTGTCTTTTGCAAACACACATGAACATACAGACAAATTGCAATTATCAAATTGAATTATTCCATGGAAAATATCATTCACCAACATAACTGTAAGACTTGATACGCATGGGTACTTACTGTAGGAGCATCCATAGACCTCCACTCTCATGCCAATCTTTCCATTTGGACTCCACTCCAGAGGCACAAAGCGAACAAAGCGGGCTCTCACGGAGTGCAGCAGCTTGTGGTGAACCACACTGTCAGCGTTCATGTTTCCCGCAAAAGTCTGAAGAGAGATGGACATTCAGTGAGCTCTACGGTACCAAGACATGTCAATAGAAGTATGTAGGCTTCTCCACTCAGGCATTTGGGGATGACAACAATAACAACGAAACAAGACAAGACAAAATAAAACAGAGACCCTAGTGATCTAATGTGGGTGGCAGTCTTGCCCAGGCCTTACAGTTTTTTCCAAGTACTAGATACTATTATTTATTATTATTAATTTATTAGTAGTAGTAGTACCAAATACTACTCTTTAGGATGTTACTCTCTCCATCACTGTGCATAGTTAAAATTTATGAACAAAGTAAGCTGCAAGGTATGACATCTGAAGATTTAAAAGTTAACGCTACCTTGAAGTGTCATTTTCCCACGTATCTATACTCACGAACTATAAGATAACTGGCAAAGGGTTTTGCTAAAATAATTGTCAATGTTATTTGAGGACAGTTGTTATGATAAGCATATAACATCTTCACTACCATTTTGAAACTTAAAAAAAAAACTAGTGGAGGAAAGGAAATACTTAAGGAAATAAATGTTCAAAACATATAGTCACCCACTAGTTAAAAATTAGCCTGAATTTTAGTTCCAAGACTGTCTTATTCCAATATCCAAGCTTGCTTTTACACTCCCCACTCTCTAACTATGCAATCATCAATAGTTACAGGAAGGAACCATCACAGTCTAGCTATACATATAGTTTAGTTTTGTCTTTATTTTAAAAAAATCACATGGTCTGAAGAGATGATTCAGTAGTTAGGAGCATTTTCTGCCTTGCTCACTACTCAGACCTAGTGTGGTCAAGTGTCTTGAGGAAGAACATAAAGCCACCACATTACTAAACCAGCATGATCTCTAACTCCATTCTAAATATTTATTCTTGTACACACAGATACGTGAAGTCCTCACCCCTCACCAAGGATAAAAGCTTTCATTGAAAGAGAGAGAGAAACCATCACAGGATACCATGTCTAATTAAAAAGTAGAGAACAAAAAACTACAGGACACCCAGTCCCAACTGATACATCTACAATACAATTACAGCACCCAAGTCTCAGAGATCATAATTGGAAGAGATGGAGCCAAGAGTGTAAGAGTCATAGGAACAGAAAGTTTCCTCTGCAATTAAGTCTGCTAAGAATGTCAGGGGAATTACAACCATGAAGGCTTACCCACATGGCTGCCTAAATAGGAAACAAACAAGGACAACACCAACAGATCTGTTAACATGGAATGGAAAAGTTCATGAGGTTTCAACCCCAGGCAAGGAGCTAGAGGCAACTAAGGAATGCTGAGAGCAGGAGAAAGAGTCTTCTGCTGGGAAGTGCCCCTTAGTTTGTATCCACTATCAAATGCTCAGCCCTGAAATCATCTACATTCAGTGAACACTGTACAGACTGAAGAGGTTTAATACAAACACACATACACATAAGGATACACACAGAAATGTACATGTATATATTATATACAATACACAAACGTGTTTGTGGAACAATTTATAGAAAAAGAAAATTTATAGAAAAATTAAAGAAAAATTTATAGAAAAATTTATAGAAAAAGAGAAATGGTGAGAACATGAGATAGGTTGGAGGGTTAAAAGGGAGAGAAGAAATAATGTAAGTATATTTCAATTTCAAAAATAAAAAAAATAAATTTTATTTTAAAAATGAATATTTTCTGCACAAGCTTGAAGAACATAATGTGGGTCTCAACACCCCCATGATGAACTTGGCGGAGTCCCATTTATACACATAACACCATTACTAAAGGGGGAAGATACAGGAGGGTTGCTGCGACTTGCTGCCTATCAGCCTAGTTAAAATCTACAGTCTTATCGTTCAGCAAAGGGCCTGCCTCAGAGCACCAAGTCAGAGAATGATAGAAGAGAAGAGAACATATCACCTGGACTCTGTGTATATGCACAGCACACTCATCCATACACAGATGTACACATAAACCACACACATTAGTATGCTTAATACACGCACACACATATACACACACAGACACATAAACACAACACAAGACCTGTTTGATCCACCTGCATTATGTCTCATAGCCTTCATCTGCATGGCTAATTATTTTATAATTATTTTTTATGCAGATGGAATTTAAAAAAAAAAACAACTCATCTTCAAACAACATCACAATAAAATATCCATAACAAAAACATTTAAACATTTTTAAGCCACGTAACTTAGTGTCATTATGTGAATTTATGTTGTACAGCTGTCCCCGTTGGGCTCACTGAAGTTGTTGTCCCTACCCCAGAGACAGTCTGACAGCTAACACTTGGAGGTTTGTTTTTCACTTGAGTTGTGATTATCCTTCTCAGCTTCAGTAATCTATAGACAGTCTGCATGCTTATGTACAGTAACAGCAACCAACAGAGACCTGATTCCACTCTAATGGCCAAGTGAACAGCAAGGAAAAGGATTTCGAGACACAGAGAATAAGGCCAAGTAAGGGTGAGGGAAGAAATTCCTAAAGGACATGCTTGTGAAAATACCATTGTGTGAAAGTATATTCTGTTTTTTAACAAAGGGACTTATTGATACCTTGCATGCAAGGTACTTGAAAATCAACAACATTTTCTAAATGTCATCCAAAGCCCTGTCTCTCCAAGAGGGTAAACTAAAGAGAAAGAATTTCTAGAAGCTCAGCTAATCATAAAGGCATTTCCTTCTTTCTTTCTTTCTTTCTTTCTTTCTTTCTTTCTTTCTTTCTTTC